CGTAGCTCGCTTTTGTTTGTTTTTCTGGCAAGAAAGCCCAGCCGCTAATCATTGTCATTGATCACGGTTTTTGTTGATAAGTGGGATCGATTCTCAGGAATCGTTCGGTGGGAATGAGGTTTCTTTGCTAAAGTTTAGTTCTGCTCGATATCTCGCCCGTGAGATCTGACCTGTGCCTCTCCGCACGGGATTCATGAATGCAAACATGGATCTGTGCTCCATAAATAAGGAGCTTTTCTAGGTCTTGACTTCGTTTGTCTGAGTTCACTGTTTTTTCTTTGATCAATGCAGGGCAGCCAACAGATCTTATGTCCAATATAGATCAGCTTTGTTCCTTTGTTTTGCAACGTTGTGAGGGCGGCAAAGAAAGTGTTTGCATGCTGGGATATAGCGGTAGTACACCTTATAATAACAATTCTGTTATTAGTCATCCTCATGTCATTGCAAACCTTTATGACTTTTGTTGTATTGAACAGGAAAGGTTTATTTCTGTAGAATATCCGGTCCGCTCTTTTACAGTAGGCTTTCCAAAGGACTCATAAGCATCATAAACGTATTTTAAAGTAATGGCCAAGATTCAAGCTGTATGATTCAGTCAAGAGTAATGGCATTGTTTGATTATTGGTGCTGTATGTAACTTTTTTTTACTCTTAAGGGGGTCGCTCACCGGACGAGAAGCGCCGCGCATGTCTTTAAAAATTCGAACACATTATTCTCTATGAGTGTACACACACCGGCGGCGCCATTCAGCATCTGTCCGCGGCGCCCAGCTACGGCTCAGGACCTTGTTCAAAACCCTTCTGCGCTACAGAGCGCCATTTGCATAGTTTTATATTAAATTATTAAGTATAATAAAGTATTTGTCTCAAATCGTCGTTAATGTACATGGCTTCACCCTGTGCTGTTTTCACAACGCTAGCTAAATAAAGACTATTGTATTTTGTTACATAGTTGCCTAGACAACGGATAACGTTACAACAAAATAAGACTTAACGTGATAGATTTGATTAACATTCAAACATCAGCTGTTATTCAATCAACATAAAAAAAAAAATCAAGTTAAAACCCACATTTCGTGCAGCTCTTCTACCAGGAGTTGATTCAAAATTGATCTAGTGCGATTAGAATGTGTGCGATACCTGGAGTTGTCCTAGATGTGGCGTGGTGTGGCGTGGCGTGGCGCTGCACTTCTCGTCTGATGTGCAACCCCCTTAAGCATAAAAATACATTAATATGTTTGCAGATATTTAGGAAATATGCTAAGTTCACGTACTCATTTATCTGAAAAACACTTCCACAGCCAGTTATTTTACTAATTATTTTACACTTTCTGTGTTGTCAGTCGGTTTTTGGTCTGTGTGATTTCGCCCAATAGTATTTTGACACCTGTTGGCAGGAAACACAGCGTACTGGAGCCAGCGAACAAACTGGCTCAGCGATTGCAGATTCCACACAGCCTAAAAAGCCTTGGCATCCTTCTAAATATCTCTATGAACTAGAGCATATTAAAAGACGGATAAATCAACTCATTAACTTACGGTCTGAAAGTCTCCTCGGCTTTCGTTGTCAATTGCTGGTCCTCAAACCGCAACCCGCGTGAGCGTCGAGTTTGGGGAGGAGGGGCGGGGGAAACAACAATCTCTGATATTTCGAATTTGGACTGCAGTACCTATTTCGACCACTAGCTGTCATTCTGATTTTTGATTTCAAGTCCCCATGAAATCAAAATTGACCATACTTACTTTGTTTGCCTAAATTGATCGTTTTGTGGTGAACAATTCATACATGCAAGTCAAGCCACATAAAAAAAATTTTTGGCTTCGTAATCTTTAATCAAATTTTGAAAATGCCCCTCCCCTCTGCATTGGAGGACCTTGCCCGATGACGTAGGCTTTACGGTTTGAGTGTCTCCTTAACATCCATAACCATGCCCCTCCAACTGACAGCTGCTGTGTGTTTGCGAGCGCCGAGCGAGCATTGATTGACAGCGTGTGTAAACTTGCGTCATCCTCCGTTTGAGAATGAAACACCCGTTTTTCTAGAATCTAGATCCAATCAGGTGCTAGTTGGAAAAAAAAAGCCACGCCCACTATTTTGCCTCATTTAGTATTCCGTTTCTTTTGAAATATGTCACAACCCTGGAGAAAAGTCGTTTGCAACTTCCGGTTCACGGGGACTTTAACATTAATGGCACATGCGACAGCAGGTATTTATTAGGCTGCTGTCACTTTATGACCAATTGCACTGATCTAATATACAAATAAACTGATTCATTAGAAATACTCAAAACTAAAAAAAAAAACAGACATTGTAAATAACAGCTTACATTTTTGCTCCGTTAATCACAAAAGTAGCATAAGGTCCCAGAAGACTTAGAAGATGTTTTTATGATACTTTTATAATGCTTTTTAGAGCATGATAGCCCCGATTCCCATTTTCGTCATTACATGGAAAAAAATGTCCAGAACATTCTTCAAAAATTAAAGATGAAAAGAAGACATTCTAGTTTGGAAAAACATGATGGAGAGTAAATAATGATGTTACTGTTCCTTTAAGTCATGATTGATCTTTTTGTGATTTGTGCTGTTGGGCTTTCTGGTGTGCCATGTGCTCATTGTTTTTAATTCTATTCATCAAGTCCCCAGATGTTTTGTTTTGTCAGCAGCAGCGGTTTGAAAAACTTGACGAATGTGATTGCGCTTCTCCGTTTTCAACAAAATACACATGTTCCCTACCAACCATCGTTCAGTTTCAGATGTTTACGGTGCGCCGTTTATTTTCACTAATTTGATTTACATTCATTACGCACAGCGATTGCCAAACCGTGCCCCGCGCCGGCACTCTGATGTAAATCAAATTCAAACATTGAGGCTAAAACCCAAATCCCTTTGACTTAAAGCAGTTTCCCATTCTCCACATACCTTCCCATATGTTCCTCCTCAGCTTCTTCAAAGTAATAAACAGAGTTTATACCCGCAGTCCTCTTCGAAAAATACATTTTGATGGCAATAAAATGTTGTAAAAATCCCTGCGGGGACGCAGAAGATGCAGTCGGTGGGGAGGTAATTGCATTCTAGGCCTTTTCCCGCCGTAGAGAGGCTGGCACGAAGCTCGTCCGCCGGGGGTTTGTGATTCGGTTTTGTGCGACTTGAAAGCTCCATGTAAATGGATCCGTGATGGCGTTTGGCTGACTGCGGACCGCAGAGCTGAAAGATGGGCTCCTGCTATTAGATTAGACTGGGATTTATGATATACCCCAGTCTATATAGTGCAGAGCGCATGGAAGGAGCAAGAAAGTAAATTAAACTGCCTGGGAATGTGTTTACTTTTAAATCAGTTTATCTTTTTATTTCCTTTTATACTTCGGTCAAGTGTTTTGCTCCTTTCTGATGCCTCTACACTTCCAAATTTAATTGGCTTTTATTGTTTCCCAGACACGATTCAAACTGCTAGAAAAAATTTATTTAACTAGAAAGTAACATTTTAAAAAAAGAGCACCTTCAAATATATTATTTTGAGGTTCTGACTTTTTTGCTTTTGCATTTTTATTTTGCTTTGTGTTCTGTCTGAAAAGTGTCTCGTTTCATCTGCATTTTGGTTGGTGAAATATTTGTTTTGTTCTGTTGAGGCGTTCCATATGTGCTATGCAATCCACTGAGAGACGGTCCACGTGTGTTTCCCTGGGTCCGAGTGTTGACGTATAGCGAGAGCGCACTCTTTTTGTTCGAGTTTTGTCCCGTTTGCATTATCCTGATGTAGAAGCACAAAAGAGCTATGCTTTGAAGACGGAGACTGAGGTGAGAAAGAGAAAGAGTAAAAGCCTATTGAAAATGCAGAGGCTGTGACTTTAATACATGTTTGGTGCTTGCTTTTCCGGATGGCTGTTGTGTTTTAGCACACTTTCTCTATAGGATGGGGAAAAAAAGGCCATAATTGCCTGGAAGACCCATATTGGATCTGAGAGATGTTTTAGCTAAAAGGTTTTTTCTGAAAGTCAATATCCAGCCAAACACTATAGACAGTAGCGTGAATAGAGAGGTAAAGAAAGATACTTTGGTTGTATGTTTTGTTGTAACGGCCTGTTTCCACTTGCAGAGTCCTGTTTTTCATTATCTGATTTTTCCTCAGGATCACAATTACCTCACATGAACTTGTTTTTTTTTTTTTCAAATAAATTCACATTGTGTCCGAACCAGACATGAGTTCCATTGACAGGCAATCTGTCTATCAATGGTGAATGCAAACCAGTGTGCAACGTGATGTGATCTCTGCCAATCAGAACATGTTTAACATTTTGGATTAATGAGATTTCTTTGTGTCCATATTGTTAGCTTACACTACTATTGGTAAACTTTGAACATGTATTGTATATTGTCATGGTTCATCCAAACCAGTACTTGCAATGAATGTTATGGTAGGGCATATAGAGCAATAATTTTTTTTAAACATATTCTCCCATTATGATATTAAAGGAGCATGATTTTTTTATACTACTTGGATAAATTAACATTAACAAACATTATTATTTTTTCTAAAATTGTTCAGATTTGCAAGTACTGCAAAATGTTCAAACTGCAAAAACATTACTGCACACTTCTATTATAAAATGTGATATTAATATTACTGGTGATTGTTTACTGTGACTGTTAATAATGATATATAATCGATAAAATATATTGATATTTATGGAATGTGTATATAAACATATAATTATCTATTTGAAAAAAAAAAAAATATATATATATATATATGTAATTTATTTATTAATATCAATTTACTTACTTGCCATAATTTGTTTTGTGTGAAGTATGAAAAAATAGATAAAAAAATCTTTTTTAGATTAAGTTTTTTTAATCTAAAAAAATTTAATCTATTCTTTTAGTTTAAAAAAATAAAAATATATATTTTTATTTTTTTTATCTATTTTTTTTAATATAGATTTTTGGGGAAAAGAGTTACAGTTCTGATTATGAATTATTATTATTTTTTTGGTGTTGCAGGCAGCCTGCCATATGAGTTTAAAGTGGTGATCGCTGGGAATCATGAGCTGACCTTCGATAAGGATTTCATGACGGAGCTGGTCAAGCAGGATTACTATCGCTTTCCCTCCGTCTCCAAGTTGAAACCCGAGGACTTTGACAATGTTCAGTCTCTCCTGACAAACTGTGTTTACCTGCAGGACTCGGATGTCACTGTCAAGGGATTTCGAATATACGGCGCACCATGGTAAGCTCCTCATGTCCTTTCTTGCATTTAAATCAAATGTAATTTTAAAATCAGAGTTGAATTTAATCAGAGTTGCATATTGTTGACAGTCATTCGATATTCAGTCTGTTTGCTTTGTTTTTTGTATCATCATCATCCATTTGTTTATCATTGTTTGACAACATATATATTTAACAAATTTATAGACTAACAGAATTAGAATTTTTTTTCCATTAGTGAGTAAATATTGTGAGTAATTTAGGAAGACTTTTATGTCAGTTTTGTTTAAAAGACAAAGCGACTGCAGTGACGACATTAACAACGCATTATATTATATATATACAATGTGGCCTAGAATACTAGATTTAAAATATTAGATTTTTTGGACATTATTAGTTAATATTAGTTTAGTAGTCCATGTAGAAAAGATGGTGAAAAAGTTTTTTTGTTTTATTTTAAAGTGAACTATAAAGTTTCTGATGCCACTGCAAACTAGTAAACAAGACGGCGTGAGAAAGCACCTCTGCGTCATTCCCATACTCCATCCCTGTGTGTTTAAATTTCCTCGAATGCTCTGATCCTCTTGGAACCTGTGTGTTTTTCTAGCGCTGCTCTGGGAATTCACTCTATTGGGCAGCCTATTTACCTGCACCTCTGCCCTACTTCCTGTTTCCTTCGCAACCATCTAAAAAGATAAAATGGCCCTGAACTATAATTATCCCCCACAACATCTTTAATGCTTCCTGGCGTTTTCTATTTTTGTGTCTTGTCCCTTGTTTTCCTCTGTGTTCCCCCTCTCAAGAGCCATTGTAAGGCTCACCTCTTGTGCGGGCTTGTTTTTGTCTATAATTAGCTGTGAAATGGAGTTAAAGAGGGGGTTATAGAGGGCATCCCGCAAAATGTAGCGAAGCGGACGGTGGGGAAGCGGAAAACAGAGGGAGGAAGTGGAGAAGGAAGGAAGGAAGCCCCCTGTGGCCCTTTAGCGTGAAAGCTGCTAAATGTCTGTTGTGACAGCGTGGGGTCTTGTGGGAAACGGGGGAGGGGGCCGGCGAGTGGATACTGTGAAAACTCAGAGCACACACACACACACACAGATGGCCGTGAGGAGGTCACTCTGACCGCTAGCGTGAGGTCTCGCTATGAAAGCTTTGGGTGGCCCCGGTGCGGCGTGCGGCTCATCTGGCCGAGACATTTGAGAAGCCTGCTAATTTGTATTACCATATTGTCACACCATTGAATCTGTAACATAAGTCGCTGAAGAATTTGGTGACTGCAGACCAGCCGTTCGCCCCAAGCGCTGCTGACTCATTCCCGAGAGTGAAAACGGAGAGAAAGAGGTCTAAAAGAAAAGAATGATATCTATAAAGCTAGCTTGATGGACAGATGGAGACAGTAATGACATGCTTAGTTTGAGACGTAGAGGCAAACGGTGACGGAGGAAGGGCTGGGAGAGAGCATGAGGACAGGTGTCGGAAAAGGGGGGAAATGCAGAAGAAATCAGAAAGCAGCATTGATGGGAGCACAGGATGTGCAGACATGCTTCAGGAATTAAATACATCTTCACACCAGGATCTTGTTCTTGAAATTGTCAGAGATATAAAAAAAGATGATTTTATTTAGTAGTATTGCATGAACCTGTTCTGTTAAATGTAAAAGGAAAATCAGAATGGTTTCAGTACCGGTTTCATTTTTGTTATTTGCTTACCACTTTAGTATTTATCAATATTCTTCGCATTTGCATGCTAGTTTTCATTTTCATTCTAGTATAACACTGCAGTGAATACCTTATAAAATAAAGGGATACTCCACTTTTTTTTTGGAAATAGGAGTTTTACCGTTTTCGAATCCAGTCAGCCGATTTATTTTTTTTTATATTTAGAAGAATATCAGTAACCAGACAGTTTCTGGTCTCATTGACTTCCATAGTATATTTTTTTCCTACTATGGAAGTCAATGAGACCAGAAAATGTTTGGTTACTGATATTCTTCAAAATATCAGAAAATCGGCTGAATGGATTCGAAAATGGTAAAACCCAACTGTTTAACTCTGTGGGAGTTGTAAAATGAGTATCCCTTTAAATTTCATAAGGTTTCAGAAGACTTACAATATATTGCATATGTCATGTGGATTTGTATTATCATGCTTTGTGATGCATATTTCATGAAATTGAGATTCTTCAAAATGTCTAATTTGTCGTTCCACAGAAGAAATAAGACTTGCGGGTTTGGAATGACACAAGGATGACTAAATAGTGTCTATATTAAAGGGATAGTACACATACAAATGACAATTTTGTATCACTCACTCACCCTCAAGTTGTTCCGGACCGGTTTAAGTTTATTTTCTCTGTTTAACACAAATAAGATATTTTAAAGCTACACTGTGTGATGTTTACCCCCGTCTAGCAGTGAAAAGGTATATGACCATCCAGTGAATATTAGTTTCTGTTCCTCTCATTTCCGATTTCGTTTGAACTCCTACGGTGGCCAATGTAGTCCAAGATTGACATGGCTTCCAGTTCGACCTCGTCCATGAGTGTTAACTACACAAAAGGCGAAGCTTGAATTAACGGGGATGTCCCTCTTTGGCTAATGTACTTTCAAGATGGAGGGGCAACATGGCGACCGACATTAGAACCCCTTACCCGTATGTATTCTCAATGGCATATTATAGACTCACGAGAATACTTTATTACTTGAACGAAGAGAATATACATTAATGAGCACATATATTTTTGAAAGAACTAAGTGTTTTTAGCTAAGAATAAACTAAAAAAGTTACACAGTGTAGCTTTAAAGAATGTTGGTAATCAAACAGGTGATGAGCCCCATTGACTTCCATAGGATTTTTCCTATTATGGAAGTCAATGGCGGGTTTGATTACCAACATTCTTTAAAATATCTTATTTTGTGTTCAACTGAACTCTGTTTTTGTTTTGGTCTGTGTGATTCCGCCCACTGCCAAATTACCCAATAATATTTCAACACCACTAGTTTCCAGTGGGCTGAAAACGCAGCAGATTGCAGCCATGGAAGCCAGCAAACAGTCTAGGTTAGAGATTGCAGATTCTACCCCACCTAAAAAGCCTCGGCATCCATCTAAAAAGCTCTACGACCAGAGGCGTATTATAACTCATCATCTCAGCATAAGGCTCGTTGCCTTCCATTTATCAAATGTGCTCGCTCCCTTTGCTGGTCCTCAAACTGGCAACCAGCATGAGCGTCGAATCTGAGGAGGAGGCGGGAAAACAACGCTCTCCAATATTTAGAATTTGGTCTGCAGTACCCATTTCAACCACTAGCTGTCAATATTACATACTGCACCTTTAAACCAAAGTGTACTTAGCTTTTTACGCGTGGGCTTGCATATGCGTACAGTCAAGTGCGTAGCCTTTGGAAGCATGCATCTTTTGATAGCGTGTGTGAACGCAGGCAGTCGACATGCTAAAAAAAGTTTTTTCTTTGTTCAGTGTTCATTTTAAACTAAAGTTGTGGCTATCTCACAACCCCCTCACACAAGCGCTTGTCAATGTTAGCCTCTGTTGTTGTTCCGTCTTTTTAGTTTTCTTCTGTGAAACAGTGGCTTGGGGCAGTGTTGCCACCTTGTGGAACAACCAATTAGTGCAAAACAATTTCAACGCGCATATGCATGTACAAAAATATAAAATCTGGTCACATGCACTGTACGTGTCGTGGACCCTATTGTACGTGTAAAAACTGAAGTATGCTTTACAATCTAAAAAAAAAAGGTTCTTTAGCGGTTCTTTATGGGTTCTTTGCTATATAGCACCACTGCCATTTAAAGAACCTGTTAAGCCCAGTTTGGTTCTTCAGTGGTTCTCTGAGGTTGTTAACGTGCTCTATGGCACCTCTTATGGTTCTACATAGCACCATATGACAAATATAAGTGGTTCCCCTATGATTACAAGCCAATGAACCACTTTTAGTGCTATTTAGCACCATTTTTTGAGTGTAGGCTTTATGCTAGGGTGACAAGGAGCATGAGATTCTCCAACAGAACTATAAGGCTGTCCATCTAGCCACACGTCCACAGGCCAGAACATGCACGACCTAGTCTATCTTCAATCAGAAATATCTGTTTGGCATGTACCAGTGTGAAACACACCTGTCTTAAGTCCAGAAAGATGTGTGTTGAGAAGTCGAAGTTAGCAGCTGTGAATACTCTAACATTTACAGCCTATGGTTTAGAGTCTTAAAAGCTGAATCTTTTAAAGGACAAAAAAACTCCTGGCTTTGTCATTTTCATTTTTGAAAGTTCATGCTTCAGAAAATGTCAACGTACACTACCATTTAAAAATGCGGCATCAGAAAGATTTGAAAGAAGTCTCTAAAGGCCAATTTATACTTATGCGTCGAGGGTACGCCGTAATGTGCGGCGTTGGCTACGCACGTAGGCGACGCCGTTATGAGCATTTATACTTCTGCGTTCAGGTCTTGTTGCTCTGCAGTACTGCTCCGAAACGCTAGTTGGCGGCGGAGAGTTTTAATGTTCCACTGTGTTTAGATTCCTCGCGGCTAGGTTAGTACAAGCAATAGCGATTGAAAGAGAGTGGATCATGTTGGAGTTGGAGCTTATTGAGGTGGAAAAACAGTTCACTTTAGTGAAATTACTAAAACTGAAAGGCAGAAATGAGAGAAGACGTCGGAGGAGATGGTACGTGTGGAAATCATAGACAGTGATGGAAATGCGTGAGAAGGTACGTGCGGAAATGCGTAGGAGGAAATGCGATGCTACCAAGCCGACCAATCACCGATCTTGCGGTCCGCGTCGTCGCGACGTGTAGTTACATTTTTAAGGAGGTGCGCGACGGCGAAGGGTACGCGCAATGGGACGCGTCTGTGCGTATGCTACGCCGTAAGGCCAATTTATACTTCTGCGTCGAGGGTACGCCGTAATGTGCGGCGTTGGCTACGCACGTAGGCGACGCCGTTATGAGCATTTATACTTCTGCGTTCAGGTCTTGTTGCTCTGCAGTACTGCTCCGAAACGCTAGTTGGCGGCGGAGAGTTTTAATGTTC